GAAATAGATAAAGTCATTACACATGAATTTCCAAAATGCTGACCAGTTCATGATGCGCGATGCAAGAATTAATCAACATGTGATAAATGCAGGACATAGGACAAAGAACGATCACAAAGCTTATAGGAATTGTGGAAATGCAGGTAATGATGGTAATGGTAATGGTGAAAGTAATATTGATAATGATTATAGTGATGAAGGTAATAGTAGTAATAGTAATGATGGTATTAATGATAATAGAAAGGGGTTAAAATGCTAGTAATGATAATGCAACTAATATTGATGATAATGATAATAGATAATGTTTATAATAATATAACAATTTATAATAATATAAATGAGAGTCCCTGAAAGTATGAAATGTATGAATGGTAAAAGCCAGCGATATTACGTAATAATTACAAGAGAACCCTTTCGCTGTAGGATATTTGCTATGAGAGCCGCAATTTACGCTAAAAAAAACATTGATTTTCCTACAGGTTACATATAATTATAGTAGGTCGCTTCCCTCCGTTTTAAAACAGAGTCGGGATGTTCAGTGCTCATGCCATGGGCATGTGTGTGTGTGTGTGTGTGTGTGTGTGTGTGTGTGTGTGTGTGTGTGTGTGTGTGTGCGTGTGTGTGTGCGTGTGTGTGTGTGTGTGTGTGTGTGTGTGTGTGTGTGTGTGTGTGTGTGTGTGTGTGTGTGTGTGTGTGTGTGTGTGTGTGTGCGCGCGCGCGCATGTGTGTGTGTATGAAAAGAAGGAGAAAGATAAACGAAAAAAAATAAACTAGGAAAAAACAGAAGAAAAACAACAAACAAAACAAGACCGAAACCCCCTCACTGACCCCCTTCCCCACCCACAGGAGACCCACCCCTCCCCCCCTCCCCTCCCCCGCCCCCCGCAACCCACACCCACACCCATGGCGAGAGGTGGGCGCTGGGACCTCGGACTGACGCAGGTGTGGGCGGGGCTGTGGGTGGCGCCCGCCCGCTACATCACGCCCGAGGCCCTGGCGACGAGGAGGATCTCGAGTGTCGTCTGGGCCACGCCGGAGGCCGCGCCGCCATCTTTGCCGGTGAGAGACGTGGGGGGGGGGGGGGGGAAGGGAGGGGGAGGAGAGGAGGCGAAGGGAGGATTGGGGGTTAGGGGATAGGAGAGGACAGGAGGAGGAAAAGGAGGAAGAGGATTGGGAATAAGGGGATAGGAGAGGACAGGAGGAGGAGGAGGAAAAGGAAGATTGGGATAAGGGGATAAGGGACAGGAGGAGGAAAAGGAAGATTGGGAATAAGGGGATAAGAAAAGACAGGGAGAGGAGGAGGCGAAGGGAGGATTGGGGGTTAGGGGATAGGAGAGGACAGGAGGAGGAAGGGAGGGAGAGGAGGAGGCGAAGGGAGGATTGGGGGTTAGGGGATAGGAGAGGACAGGAGGAGGAGGAAGATTGGGAGTAAGGGGATAAGAAGGACAGGAGGAGGAGGAAAAGGAGGATTGGGGATTAGGGGATAGGAGAGGACAGGAGGAAGGAGGGGGAGGAAAAGGAAGATTGGGGATGAGGGGATAGGAAGGACAGGAGGAGGAAAGAAGATTGGGAATAAGGGGATAAGAAAGGACAGGAGGAGGAAAAGGAAGATTGGGGGGATAAGAAAAGACAGGGAGAGGGAGCGAAGGGAGGATTGGGATTAGGAGAGGACAGGAGGAGGAGGAGGAAGATTGGGAATAAGGGGATAGGAGAGGACAGGAGGGAGGAGGGGCGAAGGGAGGATTGGGGATTAGGAGAGGACAGGAGGAGGAGGAGGAAGATTGGGAATGAGGGATAGGAGAGGACAGGAGGAGGAGGGGAGGAGGATTGGGGATTAGCGGATAAGAAAGGACAGGAGGAGGAGGAGGAAGCGAAGGGAAGATTGGAAAAGGGGGATAAGAAAGGACAGGAGGAGGAGGAGGAAAAGGAGGATTGGGAATAAGGTTATAAGAGAGGATAGATAATAAGAAAATAGGAGAGGAAAGGAGGAAGAGGAGGAGGATTAGTAATGAAGGGATAGGAGTGAAAAGGAGGATTAGTAAAAGGGGAATAGCAGAGGAAAGAATAACGAATTGATAAAAAGAAAGGAGAAGGAAAAGGATAATTAGTAATACGATGATAGAAAAGATAATTGGTGATAGATTAATGAAAAAATAATTAATTAGAAAAACGGTGGTAAATAAAACAGTAATAAGCTACTGGAAGTAATTATAAATAATTTTATAGAATCATGATTGATAAGAAATGAATGAAAGAGAATGATGATTAATAATGAACTGATTAACATGATAAGTAAGAATAAACAAAGAAAATATAATTCGTGATAAGGTAGGTAATAAGTCAATAAAAAGGATATTTTATAATATGTCAATAAGTCAAAACAGAAGTGATAGTAATGATGATAGTAATAGTAATAAGGATGAAGATAATGACAATAATGATAATAATGACAATAATGATAATAATGACATTAATAAGAGTCCAGAGAATCGAGTCTTATGTATATGTATATTGTTCTTAAACTGTGTATTCTTAACTATGTAGATAGATAGATAGAAAGGTAGGTATGTATGTAGACATAAATAGATAGGTAGATAAATAGATTGGTTGATCCATTAATTCACAAATAGATATAGATAGATAGATAGAAAGGTAGGTATGTAGATAGACATAAATAGATAGGTAGATAGATAAATATATTGATTGATCCATTAATTCACAAATAGATATAGATAGATAGACAGATAGAAAGGTAGGTATGTAGATAGACATAAATAGATAGGTAGATAGAATAACTGATTAATTGATTGATCCGATCACCAATAGATATAGATATATTGATGACTGATCCATTCAAATAGATATTAGATGATCCATTCACAAATAGATATAGATAGATAAATTATTAATTGACAGATCCATTCACAAATAGATAGATAAATATATTGATTGATTGATCCACCATTCATCCACAAATTATAGATACATATATACGTATTTACACATACCATACCTCGCTGACCATGCTCCCTTTGACCCCCATGGCTCCAACCCTTTCCCCTTGACCTCCAGAGCGTGACCGTGATCGAGGTCAAGCTGCGGGACGAGTGCGACCAGGACCTGAGTCCCTACTTCCCGAGGGTGGCGCAGGAGTTCGCCGAGTGCCGGAGTAAGAGCGAGGGAGAGAGAGGAGGAAGGAAGTTTTTTTTTTTTTTTTCGTTTTTTTTTTTGTTTGGTTGGTTGGTTGGTTTTTTTTGTTTTCGTTTCTTTTTTTTCTTTTTTGTTTGTTGGTTGGTTGGTTGGTTGGTTGTTTTACTGGGTTTTTTGTTGATTGTCTTAATCTTTTCCTTATTATTTTTTTTTTCTTTTCTTCTTCTTCTTCTTCTTCTTCTTCTTCTCTTCTCTCTTCTTCTTCTTCTTCTTCTTCTTCTTCTTCTTCTTCTTCTTCTCTCCTTCTCCTCTTCTCCTCCTCCTTCTCCTCCTCCTCCTCTCTCCTCCTCTCCTCTCCTCCTCCTCCTCCTCTCCTCCTCCTCCTCCTCCTCCTCCTCTTCCTCCCTCTCTCTCTCTCTCCTCTCTCTCTCCTCTCTCTCTCTCTCTCTCTCTCTCTCTCTCTCTCTCTCTCTCTCTCTCTCTCTCTCTCTCTCTCTCTTCTCTCTCTCTCTCTCTCTCTCTTCCTCTCTCTCTCCTCTCACTCTCTCTCTCCTCTTCTCTCTCTCTCTCTCTCTCTCTCTCTCTCTCTCTCTCTCTCTCTCTCTCTCTCTCTCTCTATTTTCTCTTCTTACTCGTTTCTTCTTATTTTTTTTTTTGTTTTTTTCATTTTATGTTAAATCGTTTCTTTCCTTCTTTCTCTTCTCTCTTTTCGTTTTTTTTTCTCTTCTTCTTATCTAAGTTGGCTTGAGGAATTGTTGTTTTTTTTTTTTCTTTTTATGATTTTTTTTTTTTTTTTTTTTTTTTTTTTTTTTTTTTTTTTTTTTTTTAGGTCTGACTATTTGTGATGATGTTGCTGGTAATAAGTTGGAAAATAGATAATTGGTAATAAATAGTTGATAAATAACTTAATTTTTTGTTAAATATGTAATTGCCTTTTTTAATAATTGATGAATTTTTTTGTAATATGTAATTGCCATTTTTAGATAATTGATAAAACTTCATTTTTGTAAAAATGTAATTACCTTTTTAATAATTGTACTTCATTTTTTTGCAAATATGTATTGCCTTTTTAAATAATTGATAAATAACCATTTTTTTGTAAATATGTAATACCTTTTTTAAATATTGATAAATAACTTCCTTTTTGTAAATATGTAATTGCCTTTTTTAGATAATTTATAAATAATTCATTTTTTTAAATATGTAATTTGCCATTTTTAGATAATGATAAATAACTTTTTTGTAAAAATGTAATTATTATATTAATTGATTAAATAATAAAAATTTTGTAAAATGCTACCTTTTTTTAAAATTGATAAATAACTTAATTTTTTTTTGTAAATATGTAATTATCTTTTTTAATGTCCATGTTGTGTCGAATTTTCCCAGGGTATTTCTCTCATTCGGCAATCAGATGCCAAATTCACCATGGATTATAAAAAAGGCTATTTTGCACTTTATTTTTAGGGCCAGATTCATTCCCATTTTGAGCTGCATAGTTAAAGAATAGACGTAAAAATATTCCAAGTAAATAAAATATTCCAAACTTAATTTGCTAAAGAATAAATATGTAAAAAAGTGGAAAGAAAAGAAATATGCAAAAAAATAAATGTGCAAAAATATAAATACCCAAAAAATGCAAACATTAGAATAAATTAAAGAAAAATGCATTAAAAATGAATATGCAAAAATAATGCCAAAAAATAGATATCCAAATACAAAATTAATATGCAAAAAAATCTACACATTCAAGCGCTGAATTCCAGTCTTATCACCCCCTCTCCCCTCTCCCCCCCGTCTCCCACCTCTCCCTCTTCACCCCTCTCCCTCCTCTACCCACTACCCCCCCCCGTCTCCCCCCTCCTTCTCCCTCTCCCCTCTCACCCCATCCCCTCCCCACTCCCCCCACATCCCTCCTCTCCCTCTCTCTCCCCTTCCCTCCCCTCTCCCTCACCCCCCTCTCCCACTCCCCCTCCAACCCTCCTCCCCCCCCCTTTCAGAGAGAGAGGCACGGGCCTGGCCACCGTCTGCCTGGCCGGGATCAGCCGCTCCTCCAGCCTGGCCATCGCCGCCCTCGTCGGACAGCCGGACCTCCCGCAGATGAGCCTCCGCTTCGCCTACGAGACGGTCAAGGCGGCGCGCCCCGTCGTCAGGCCCAACGCCGGGTTCTTCGCCGCAGGTGAGAGGGGTGTGAAGGGGGGTGGGGTGGGGGTGAGGGGGGGATGATGAGGGGGGTTGGGAGGGTGGGGTGGGGGAGTGAGGGGCGCCCCGTCGTCAGGCCCAACGCCGGGTTCTTCGCGCAGCGTGAGAGGGGGTGTGAAAGGGGGTGGGGTGGGGGTGGAGGGGGGATGATGAGGGGGGTTGGGAGGGTGGGGGTGGGGGGAGTGAGGGGCGCCCCGTCGTCAGGCCCAACGCCGGGTTCTTCGCGCAGGTGAGAGGGGTGTGAAGGGGGTGGGGTGGGGTGGAGGGGGGATGATGAGGGGGGTTGGGAGGGTGGGGTGGGGGAGTGAGGGGCGCCCGTCGTCAGGCCAACGCCGGTTCTTCGCGCAGTGTGAGAGGGGGTGAAGGGGGTGGGGTGGGGGTGGAGGGGGGATGATGAGGGGGGTTGGAGGGTGGGGGGGGAGTGAGGGGCGCCCGCGTTCGTTGCCCAACGCCGGGTTCGCGCAGGTGGCAGGGGTGTGGAAGGGGGGTGGGGTGGGGGGAGGGGGGGTGGTGAGAGGGTTGGGAGGGTGGGGTGTGGGGAGTGAGGGGCGCCCCGTCGGTCAGGCCCAAACGCCGGTTCTTCGCGCAGGTGAGAGGGGGGTGAAGGTGGAGGGGAAGGGGGGTGGGGGAGGGGTGAGGAGGGTGGGTGTGGGGGTGGGGTGAGGGTGGGGGGGGTGAGGGGCGCCCCGTCGTCAGGCCCAAACGCCGGGTTCTTCGCGCAGGTGAGGATGGGTGAGAGGGGGGGTGGGGGGTAGGGGTGAAGGTGAAGGGGGTGAGTGTGGGGTGGTGGGGGTGAGGGGTTGGGATGGGTGTGAGGGGGGGGATGGGGGAATGAGGGGGAGGGAAGTGAGGGCGCCCGCGTCGTCAGCCAACGCCGGGGTTCTTCGCACAGGGGGTGAGGATGGGTGAAGTGAGGGGGGTGGGGGGGTTGGTGGGGGTGAGGATGAGGGGGGGGAGTGTGGGGCGGCCCCGTCGTCAGGCCCAACGCCGGGTTCTTCGCGCAGGTGAGGGGGTGTGAGGGGGGTGAGGGGTGGGGTGGTGAGGTGGGGTTGGGGGGGGGTGAAGGGGCGCCCCGTCGTCAGGCCCAACGCCGGGTTCTTCGCGCAGGTGAGGGGGGTGTGAAGGGGGGTAGGGTGGGTGGGTGGGATGGGTGGAGGGGGGTGTCAGGGGGGAGTGAGGGCGCCCCGTCGTCCAGGCAACGCCGGTTTTCGCCGCAGGTGAGGCGGGGTGGGGGGTGAGGGGTGGGGGTGGTGAGGGTGAGGGTGGGGGGTAGGGGTTGGAGGGGGTAGGGACGGTGAAGGTGGGGGTGGGTGAGGGTGGGGGTGGTGGTATTTGTGATGATGAATGGTGATGGAGAAGTTAATGTTGATGGTGATGATAATGGGGATGGTGATGATGGTGCTGGTATTAGTGATGATGATGATGGTCGTGACGAGAGAGTCTGTTTCATCGCAGTTGGTGTTGTTCTTGTTTATGAGGTGATCTGATGCTGCTAGTCTCGACGCTGTTCTTGTTTTTTTTGTTGTTGTTGTTTTTGTATTTTAATGTGGGTCGCTCGAGGAACTTGCTGAGTCATTCTGGGCTAGACTGGTGTGGTGATGGGAACAGATTGCCATTAATTTGTTTATTTATTTGTTTATTTGTTTAGTTATTTGCTTAGTTATTTGTTTAATTATGTTTATCTGTTTAATTATTTGTTATTATTTGTTTATTTAATCTTATTCTATTGTTATTTTATAGTTTATATTTTTATTTATTCGTTTATTTCATTTGTTTATTTACATGTTATTTATTTGTTTATTTATTCGTTGTTCATCTGTTTATTTACAGATAGACGAGACAGACAGAACAGACAGACTGGCAGGCAGACGAGAGATTGGACAGACAGACAGACAAACAGACAGATAGACAAACAGACAGACATAAGACAGACAGGCAGACAGACAGACAGACAGACAACGACATAAAGACAGACAGGGAGTAGAGACAGACGTACAGACAGACAGACAGACTGACAGACAGCATATAAAGAAAAACTGAGAATGAGAATAACATTGAAACAAAAAGAAGAAAGAAAATGCAAAGCACAATTCGAAATAGCTGCTGCTTCCTAAAAATTCCGATTTCCCAAAGATTTTACTAAAATAA